ATGGCGGGAAATTGTATTTTACTTTTTATTGATATTAAAACCAATGAGATAAAAACTGAACAAACAAAGAAATTTTTCATCAATTTTATACAAACAAAGTACGAAGAAACTTTCTCCCCGACCTATTATAATTATTTATTAATTTTTTTATAATTATTTAAGCCAGACTACTATCCTACCTGATGTTAAAGCAGAAGATGGTAAAACACACTGACTTAGTTTACAAAAGCCTATTCCTTGCCTTGCCCTGAAAACTTACTTTAAAAAATAGTGAATGTATAAAGCAAACTGCCACAGTATATTTCTTAATATATTATAATATAAGTTAGTCTCAATATTATAAGTACAGATTTTGTTCACTTTTGATTAATTGAAACAAATTATGAAACGTGCAATAAGGAAATATTGTTACAGATAAAAATACCTACCAATAGTTTGTGTGTAAATTTTTTTATAGGAGAGGTGGCAAACGAGAATACGGCTCACCTGATGGTAAGTGATTACCGCCGTCCATGAACAACTGCAACTCCAGGGGAATTGCAGATGCGTTGCCGGCCTTTTAAATAGGTGTACGCTCTTTTCTTGAAGGTCCCTAAGTCGTATTGGTCCGGAAAAATCTCTGGTGGTAATCGATTCAACAAGGAAGTTGTGCGAGAAAGAAAACTTCTTTTAAATCGCACAGTGGTGGACCACCAGTCATCCAGATGGTATGGATGGTATCGCGAGTTTTGTTGCGATGTGCGATGGTGAAATAGTGCGGCTGGAATTAGTCCGATTAATTCCTCAGAGCACTCCCCGTGGTAAATGCGATAAAATACGCAGAGCTGCAACATCTCTTCGCAGTGCCAGTGAGTCAAGCCGATCGGATAGAGTTCGGTCGCCGACGATTCGAAAAGCTCTACGCTGGATGCGACAGCTTGAAAAGCATTCAATCTAATAATGTTTGTCTATTACAAAGAAACAATACTCACCGCGCTCGTTATGTATAAATATAATATTGTAACGTTAGGTTTATTGGAGAATGTTTCAATGAATAATTTATTGAATCGTTCCCCAAACGTCGAAAATGAAAAATATGTCGAAACTAAAGCGATAAAATCCGTAAAATTAGTACAATAATTTATAATATTACTTATTCCATATGTGGTATACGCGTATATACAAATATAAACAACAAAATTAGATATAATTTTTGTTACATATTTATTTTCTTTCTTTTTCATATTAGGTTCGTATTCACACCAGCATTCCATTAGGCCTCAGCCCTCACGACCGAAAGTAAGAGACAAGCAAACAGTCTATTCGATGTTAAGCGTCACAGATCATTTATAATCCGATGTTAGTGTGGGATTTATAGGTCCATGTTTATGTGGGACTTATAAGAAAAAACAATTTGCCAACTGTGTTACTTGGCTACCGTTTGGTAAAAGGCATTGGGATATTGGGTATTGTGTAGGCGATAGGCTTGTCATCTATCATTTCATTGACAATTTTCCTTCTATACCCGTAATTCATTCATCCATCATCGTATAATTCTGTACTTCATCATTTACCAGAAATGGAAAGTAGTGATTTCGATTTCATTACATCTACATTCTTCTGATATAATAAACTATATTATGTCAGGGGAATACGGGTGCACGCTCACATAACAGTATTAGCGTCTATATCAGTTACAGAAGCCCTACGAGAACAAACAGTAAAGTCAGTGTATTCGAATTTTGTAATAATTTGCAGCTTCCTGCTAATAAGCGATGTAAAGTAATAATAGTGTTGGATACACATGCCTCACTGTTTGGCATGGGTCACTTATTATTTTAAGGGGGGTTTGGACCAAGGAAAAGTTCGCTGAGCTGATGAAATGAGTGTTGGCGAGCGTATAGTCTCTGAGCTAGAACGCATCTAAGAAAATAGAACTTTATTATAATAGTGGTGGTGTAAGAATATCAACTACCCCATATCGTCTCGAGAATATCGTAAGAGGGGAACAAACCAGGAGATGGGGAGCAGCGTCTTCCAGATAACAGCTAGAAAATTAAAAAAAAATTCCCAACCCACCTACCAAGCGTGGTAACTATGGTAAGTATTATCCCTTATGAGGGAGGCCTATGTTCAACAGTGGTCTTAATAGGCTGTAATGGTGATTATAATATAATAAACAATTCAATCAAGAAATTTGTTCAAGAATATTTAGGTAGATAGATCGCCTAGCCTGGCGGTTAAAGAATGTAACTAGCTGAAGTTAGGTTTTGAGTCTGGTTTTGTTTTGATTAAGTGTCTCTAATGTTGCATCTTATCATTTTACCTCCGATATTTCAGCGTAAATGTGACATTGTGACTGCCTCGTTAGCCTCGTGGTCGATAGCGTGACTGATGATCATGTGATCCCGGGTTCGAATCCTGGAAAATCAGTTATTAGGGTTTTCTGTAAATAAATTCTCAGTATCAGTCCGATGTCAGGAAGTTGGCAGTGTTTCACACCCGCGCTGTGTTGAAAGCATGTAAAACTGTTGCTCCTGCGTCTGATTTCTCTGCGGTCGTGTCGGATTAGCGTCCAATCGGACTATGAGAGTGAGTGTATAGAAAGTGCACCTGTATTTGTATACAAATTGCTCGTCTTCGTTGAGACTGGCTGCCATTATCGAAATTCGGTTCGGAGGGCATCACATTATTGTTGCGCGCCATTATTAATGTCTTGTACATGGCAACACTAGTTACACTAGCGCCCTAGTGTAACTAGTTTTGCCATTGCCCTAGTGTAGTCTAGTGTTGAGTAGCAGAACTAGGAGAGATATAGAGAATACTTCGAAGCGAAATAACGGCGAACTGTGTTTTATTATTAGTGTGATTTTAAGTTGTAATTAGTGTTGTGTAATTAAATAGTCAATTTTGGTAATTCACTCGGCAGTTTTTAATTATCTCTAACCCCAAGCTCGTAACAATTGGTGTCAGAAGTGGGATAAAATCATGCCGATTTTACCAAAGGACGACATGGAGGGTATCCGTACCCGAAGTCAACGCCAGCTGGAGATGGACCGGAGACGATTTGGTAATGCATCGCCGCAAACGTCGGAGGGCCAGCTACCGACCACGGAGGCCGGCCCGTCAGCAGTTCCTGCATCTGCAGCACCTGACTTAAGTGTTCTGATGATGATGCTGCAGGAGCAAGCCCGCCGACAAGAGTAACAGGCCCGTCAGTTGGAAGAACAGCTGCAGCGTGGACAGGAGGAACAGGCCCGCCAACAGGAGGAACAGGGCCGTCGGTTGGAAGAGCAGCTCAAACGTGATAAGGAAGAGCAGATACTTCTCATGAAGGACCTTCACGCTACCTTTGGGAAAGAGATAAGAGAGGTGAAGGATAAGGTTGCTCGATATGACAACCGCCTGTCGGAAGCTGAAACCCGAATCGACCAAGTGTACAATCGGGTTGACAACGTGATGGCTGACGTGAAGAAAACGCTGGACAACCTCAAACTTGGGGATGGAGTTACAGCTCCCGTGGTAGCTACAACACCTTCGCTACGTGGATTCAAAGTGCCGCCGTTCGACGGGACTTTTTCCTGGTCGGCCTACAAAATCCAATTCGAGGCTGTCATGAAGGTTTACGGCTGGAATAAAAGTCAGGCCATGACTGCTCTCACCCTAGCCCTGCGTGACCACCTTATCTGTTCTGGAAGCTCTCGGTAAGGAAGTGACTTACGAGCAGCTCCTTGAGGCATTGGAGGCGAGATATGGCGACGCTCACCTGGAACACGTCTTTCGTGCACAGTTCAAAGATCGCGTGCAACGCAGTAACAAAAACCTGCAGATGTGGGCCCTTGAGGTGGAGAAACTGGTTCGAAAAGCATACCAGTCTGTACCTGCGCTCATCGTAGGGAACCTGGTGCAGACATTCATCGACGGCTTCAGCGACCTTGGAGTCAGAGCTGCTGTGAGGCTCGGGCACCACGAGACGCTTAAGGATGCCTTGACCCATGCACTGGAGGTGGAAGCCGTGCGGCAGGATCATCGTTCCCACCGCGTCATGGAGGTTGCAGCAGCTACAGTTCGGGACCGCAATAACGGATACAGCCCTAGGTGCTACGGCTGTGGGGAAAGGGGCCATCTTCGATCCAGCTGCCCTAAGCGATCTGTAGAAAGGGAAGATGATCGATCTCGAGAGGGTAGTGCGGCTAATAGCACCGCTCAGCAGCAGCAGGGAAACGAGTAAAAGCCAGAACTGCGGGGCGGGTGTTGGCTCATGTTAAAAGAGCCCCAAGGATTTCGATCTCACAAACCCATGATGGGAACAGCCTAATCATCAAGGGCGAGGTCAATGGAACGCCGTGTAAACTGACCATAGACACTGGAGCCTCTCGCACAGTTGTCAGTTCCCAAATTATAAGTCGGACTCCGCATACAACCGAGAACGCATTAATTTGGTGACAGCCACCGGTCAGCGCATACCCGTCCGTGGAGAGAAGGAGATGGAGTTGAAGCTAGGCAACATGATCTACCTGCATAATGTCATCGTGGCTGATATAATGGACGACTGCATCCTGGGCCTAGACTTTATGAGGAAGAATTGTTGTGAGATCGACGTTAAGCAAGGTGTTTTGAAATGTGGACAAGAGGAACTTTTCGTGGAAGGGGCGTTACCAGGGAATGTGTACAGCCTTAAGATTGTTCTTCCGCCGAGATCGGAAACGATTGTGCCGGTTAGACTTCCTCGGAATCCTGGGCAAACTCTTCGTTATGTACTCGTGGAAAATGTAGACAATAACCTTCTATGGAAAGTGCCTTGAACCTTGGTCAGAGCCACTGATATCTCAGGAGTACGTGTGCTGAACCTTTGATGACTAAGTGCTGAAGAATTGATGACTCCCTGGACATGCTTACAGGCGTAAAGTGGTTTAAGTACGCTGGACCTGAAAAGTGGCTACTGGCAGGTTGAAATTGACCCTTAGGACAAGGAGAAAACTGCATTCTCCACAGGAAAGGGTCTGTGGCAATTTAAAGTCATGCCGTTTGGATTGTGCAATGCTCCAGCAACGTTTGAAAGGTTGAAGGAGCTTGTACTTACCGGGCTAATTGGCGATGCCTGTCTGGTCTACATCATCATCGTAGGCCGTACGTTTGAGGAACACCTTCAAAACCTGGAACGCGTGCTCATGAAGATCCAGAGTGCCAAACTCAAGTTAAGTCCGAAGAAGTGCTCACTATTCAAACGGCAAGTTAGCTTTTTGGGTTATGTAGTGTCGGAAGAAGGTATCCGCACGGATCCAGAGAAAATTGCCGCTGTCAAGGATTGGCCGGTTCCAAAAGACAAGACACAGGTTAGAGCATTTTTGGGTTTGTGCTCTTACTATCGGCGATTTGTGAAGAACTTTGCAGATATAGCCAAACCTCTGCACAAGCTAACCGAGGAGAAGCGACATTTCTGCTGGGATGAAAGTTGCGATATTGCATTCCAGGAGCTCAATAACTGTCTATGCAAAACACCTATCTTTGTGTACCCTGATGCGGGCAAGGAATTTATAGTTGACACAGACGCAAGTGATATAGGACTTGGCGGTGTGTTTTCTCAACGGAATGGTGATCAAGAGATTGTGATAGCGTACTTCAGCAAGTCGTTGTCAAAACCGGAAAGGAACTATTGTGTCACAAGACGGGAATTGCTTGCTGTGGTAACGTCCTTGCAGCATTTTAGCAAATATCTCCTGGGGCGGAAATTCTACTTACGAACTAACCATGCTGCACTGAAATGGCTATTGCAGTTCAAAAATCCGGAAGGACAAGTTGCGAGATGGATTGAACTACTACAGGAATACGACTTTGTGATCGAACATCGCAGCGGGAAATCTCATGGCAATGCAGATGCATTATCAAGAAGACCTTGCCCTGACGATTGCAAGCATTGTACTAGGCAAGAGGGTAAAGAAGTGGTATCTGTGAGGATACTCAGGATAGACCAGCTTAGCAATGAGTGGAAGTACAGCCGATTCTGGAATGGATGAAGGCCTGCGCTCCTAAGCCCAAGTGAAGCGACGTCTCAGCAATGAGTTCGATCACGAAAAACTATTGGTCCCAATGGGACAGCTTGCTGATTCAGGATGGAGTCCTGTGCCGTAAATGGGAAAATGGTCGGGGAGACAGGTGTCATTTGCAAATGGTTGTCCCTAAGGCTAAAGTACCGGATGTTCTACAGCTGTACCATAGTGGTTGTTCAGGAGGCCACCTGGGAGTTAAACGAACTCTCCTGAAGATCCGAGAACGGTTTTACTGGGTCCACTGTCGTGACGATGTCGAGGACTGGTGCCGCAAATGTACAAGTTGTGCGGCTGTAAAGGGACATCAAATTCGTAGTAGAGGCGCATTGAAATTGTACAATGTTGGTGCACAATGGGAGAGGATAGCCATTCACGTTGCGGGGCCGTTTCCGGAAAGTGAAAGTGGTAACAAGTATTTCATGGTTGTGATGGATTATTTCACTAAGTGGCCAGAAGTCTTCGCCATTCCAAATCAAGAAGCTTCAACAGTTGCAGATAAACTAGTTCATGAAGTCTTCTGTCGTTTTGGAGTACCTTTAGAGATTCACAGCGATCAAGGAAGGAATTTTGAGTCTCAAATATTCCAGGAAACTTGCCGAGTTATGGGTACTCATAAAACACGAACAACTTCTTACCACCCACCATCTGATGGAATGGTAGAACTATTTAATCAGACATTGGAAAGGTACCTAGCAAAAGTTGTGGAGAAACGGCAACGAGACTGGGACAGGCACATACAACCGTTTTTGTTATCATATTGAAGCGCTGTTCATGAAAGTACATCAGTAACACCAGCTTTCGCAAACTTTCGGAGAGAATTACGGCTGCCTGCAGACCTGATCACCGGAATACCACCTGATGCCCCACGCAGTATAACCGATTATGCAAATGACTTGCGGAACAAAATGAATGACATTTATGAGCACGTCAGACAGACGGGCCAGCAAACGTCTGAGAAGATGAAAACACGGCATGACCGCAAAATGAACAACAAGGGGTTTGACGAAGGTTCACTAGTGTGGTTACACAATCCAGTTTGCAGCAAAGGGAAATCTCCTAAGCTTCAAGCTAAATGGGACGGACCGTACCGGATTGTGACAAGGATCAGTGACGTAACCTACCGGATACAGAAAGGTGCCAGAGGTACTCCTAAGATTATCCATGTGGATCGACTGGCGCGTTATTATGTGGCCAATAATGCTCGGGACGAGCATGTCTTAGGAGGGGGCAGTGTTGCGCGCTACTATTAATGTTTTGTACATGGCAACACTAGTTATCACTAGCGCCCTCTAGTGTCGAGTAAAAGAAAGTGTTGCGCGCCACTATTAATGTCTTGTAAATGGCAACACTAGTTACACTAGCGCCCTCTAGTGTCGAGTAGCAGAACTAGGAGAGTCGAGATCATGAAGCTAATACAAAGGGGAGACGGCATAAGCAACTGTGCACTGTGATTCTAAGTAGGTCCTGACGTCATCATAGTGGGCGTGGCTTTAGTTAGTATACTGTCAGCATTCGTCCTGTGCGCTCATGTGTTGAAAAAATCGCAAATCGATATATTTTCGTAGTATTAAGAAGAAAAGGATGAAGTGTTGTGTTTTATTATGTAAAAACTACTCAGATAGACGCTCTGATGTTATGGATGGCATCACATTTCATTTGTAAATAATTTTACACCTAATTTATTAAAATAGTTCTAGAAAAATCTCTTTGCGTTGGCTTTCAAATATAATTAAATATATTCGACACTAGATGGCGACACTTTGTGTCATGTGAACTAAAAATATAAAGGTCCGTAGAGCTCAGTATTGGTAAAATAATCATACGAAGGTGCTGAAATTTGTTTTGCATTCAGATATAAAGTAATCTTAATCGCAAAATATTATTTTTATAGTTTATAATCATTATGTGAACAGGCCGTATTCTATCGTCAAGTAAACCTCATAAAGATAACAAAAAGACAGTGCCGTAATTAGAATTCAATTATTTTATTCAGTAATCCAACTTTCAATATTAAAAGGAAGGAAATTGTACTTAGGCTGATTTTCACGAAATGTATAAGTTATATTTAAGTGACATTCAATATGCAAAGAATCACTTAAATACAATTTAATGTTCTTAGATTGGCATTCAAAAAGTGCATTCGGATGTCTAATTTGGAATAAAATATTTATATTTTAATTGATTTGTAAATAAAATTATATTAATTATAATAATTTGTCTATTATTTGTTCTCCCTCAGAGATATTAAGTAGTATAACCCACAGATAAATAATAGTCCAGCCGTTTCTGCGTGAAAAAATTACACATACACAGTACATACTTAGTGTGGAATAAGCTCAAGGAGACAGAAAGAACACACAAAATTTCGCCTTTATAATATTAGTGAGATAAATAGGATATTTAGTTCCAAATTAAATATCCTACTTAATATTGAACATAGAATATTTAGTTTCAAAGAGACTTTATTTTATGGATAAAATAAATAGTTTTTGAAGGTTGACCTTCACGAAATGATAAACATATTTAAATTGTATTTAAGTGATTCTTTGCATATAGAATGTCAGTGAAATATAACTTATACATTTCGTAAAAATCAGCCAAGTACAATTTCCTTCATTTTAATATTGAATGTTGGGTTACTGGGTAAAATAATTGAATTCTAATTGCGGCCCTGTGTTTTTGTAATTTTTTATGAGGTTTACTTGTCTGCCTGTATGGCGGCCTGTTCCCAAAATTATTGTGATAACTAAAAATATTATTTTGGCGATTAAAATTTCTTTGTCTGAATGTATTTGCTTCATGAGATAGACGCTCCGATGCTATGGATGGCATCACATTTCATTTGTAAGTAATTTTACACCTAATTTATTAAAATAGTTCTAGAAAAATCTCTTTGCGTCGGCTTTCAAATACAATTAAATATATTCCACACTAGATGGCGACACTTTGCGTCCTGTGAACTAAAAATATAAAGGTACGTAGAGCTCAGTAATGATAAAATAATCATACGAAGGTGCTAAAATTTATTTTGCATTCAGACATAAAGAAATTTTAATCGCCAAAATATTATTTTTTAGTTTATAACATTTTGTGGATATGCCGCCATCTACCGTCAAGGTAGCTAACCTACATTGCAGCATTGATATGGAAAGATTCGAGTAGTTTTACTATTTATCGGTAGATGTAGATAGTGTAGTGGGCGGGGCTTTGCATCCCCTCACCCCGCAAATTGTCACGCGTTGTTTCATAGTGAAATTGAATTACAACGTCTCCTCCATGAAGCTAATACAAAGGGGAGACGGCATAAGCAACTGTGCACTGTGATTCTAAGTAGGTCCTGACGTCATCATAGTGGGCGTGGCTTTAGTTAGTATACTGTCAGCATTCGTCCTGTGCGCTCATGTGTTGAAAAAATCGCAAATCGATGTATTTTAGTAGCATTAAGAAGAAAAGGATGAAGTGTTGTGTTTTATTGTGTAAAAACTACTCAGATAGACGCTCTGATGTTATGGATGGCATCACATTTCATTTGTAAATAATTTTACACCTAATTTATTAAAATAGTTCTAGAAAAATCTCTTTGCGTTGGCTTTCAAATATAATTAAATATATTCGACACTAGATGGCGACACTTTGTGTCATGTGAACTAAAAATATAAAGGTCCGTAGAACTCAGTATTGGTAAAATAAACATACGAAGGTGCTGAAATTCGTTTTGCATTCAGATATAAAGTAATTTTAATCGCAAAATATTATTTTTATAGTTTATAATCATTATGTGAACAGGCCGTATTCTATAGTCAAGTAAACCTCATAAAGATAACAAAAAGACATTGCCGTAATTAGAATTCAATTGTTTTAATCAGTAATCCAACTTTCAATATTAAAATGTAGGAAATTGTACTTAGGCTGATTTTCACGAAATGTTTAAGTTATATTTAAGTGACATTCTATATGCAAAGAATCACTTAAATACAATTTAATGTTCTTAGATTGGCATTCAAAAAGTGCATTCGGATGCCTAATTTTGAATAAAATATTTATATTTTAATTGATTTGTAAATAAAATTATATTAATTATAATAATTTGTCTATTATTTGTTCTCCCTCAGAGATATTAAGTAGTATAACCCACAGATAAATAATAGTCCAGCCGTTTCTGCGTGAAAAAATTACACATACACAGTACTTACTTAGTGTGGAATAAGCTCAAGGAGACAGAAAGAACACACAAAATTTCGCCTTTATAATATTAGTAAGATAAATAGGATATTTAGTTCCAAATTAAATATCCTACTTAATATTGAACATAGAATATTTAGTTTCAAAGAGACTTAATTTTATCGATAAAATAAATATTTTTTGAAGGTTGACTTTCACGAAATAATAAAATATTTAAATTGTATTTAAGTGATACTTTGCATATAGAATGTCAGTTAAATATAACTTAAACATTTCGTAAAAATCAGCCAAGTACAATTTCCTTCATTTTAATATTGAATGTTGGGTTACTGGGTAAAATAATTGAATTCTAATTGCGGCCCTGTCGTTTTGTAATTTTTTATGAGGTTTACTTGACAATAGATGGCGGCCTATTCCCAAAATTATTATGAAAACTATAAAAACATTATTTTGGCGATTAAAATTTCTTTGTCTGAATGTATTTGCTTCATGAGATAGACGCTCCGATGCTATGGATGGCATCACATTTCATTTGTAAGTAATTTTACATCTAATTTATTAAAATAGTTCTAGAAAAATCTTTGCGTCGGCTTTCAAATATAATTAAATATATTCCACACTAGATGGCGACACTTTGTGTCCTGTGAACTAAAAATATAAAGGTACGTAGAGCTCAGTAACGATAAAATAATCATACGAAGGTGCTAAAATTTGTTTTGCATTCAGACATAAAGAAATTTTAATCGCCAAAATATTATTTTTTAGTTTATAACATTTTGTGGATA